ATATATATATATATATGTATATAATTTCCATATTAGCAAGCTGAAATATTTGTTACCAGGCCAAACACTATTAGTAAAATAACTCTTCCAATATTACAGGGCTTTAATTTTCAAAGTTGACAGGTTCTTCCTGAATCTTTTAAAGAGGACCACCTGTCCATAATTCAGATATTGCAAATATTCTAAGAATTAGAAATGTTCTTTAAACAGGAGAGTGAACAAGGATATTTTTTATCCTTAAATTTAGAATCACCCCATCTATTAGAGCTGCTTATTTAGATGTGGAAGGAAGATGGGACAATCTACTTCCATAAAGATTCACTCCCTAAGAAACCCAATGTGGGTTGCTATGAGTTGGAATCGACTCAATGGCAGTGAGTGAGTGAGTATCCAGGAGATCTGTACCTAAAGTGGCCTAACTACTTATTACCTCAAAACTTTGCTTGTTTTTTGTGGACTGTGGCCACCTTCCAAAAAATATGTATTGTAATCTTAACCTCTGTATCTGTGATTGTAATACAACCACCTCTTTATTTGTCTACAAACACTTCAATAATGCAATCTAATGTGTTACTGAGGCCACACTCATGTAGGGTGTGTCCTAAACCTAATCACTTCAGAGTTATAAAAAAACACATAGACAGAGACACCAAAAGACAAATAAATGCACAAGAAGATCCTCAAGGGACTGAAGAATATGGGGCTGCAGAAGCTGAAAGAGATAAGGATCTTCCCCTAGAGCCTACTCTTAGAGCTGGTGCCCTGAATTTGGACTTCTAACAGGGAGATCTGGTTGCACAGTGGTTAAAGCATTCTACTGCTAACCAAAATGTTGGCAGTTCGAACCCACCAGCTGCTCCATGGGAGAAAGATGAAGCAGTCTGCTTCCCTAAAGATTTACAGCCTTGGAAATCCTATGGGGCAGTTCTACTCTGTGCTATAGGGTCTCTATGAGTCAGAATCTGCTAGATGGCAATGGCAGTGGGAACCTTCTGAACTGTGAGAAAATAAGTTTCTGTTCTTTGAAACTACCCAATTGTATTTCTGATATGGCAGCCCTAAATAACCAAGAGAATGCTCATCATGGCTTTTCAAATATTCTTTTTCTTGTTTATTCCTTCTCCCTACTAGGTCGTAAGTTCCCTCTGGTTCACTTTCTTGGAGACTACAATTTTTTCTGTTAACAGTATTTTCTCTTATGAGTTGCAATCTGAAGGGAAAGGATGTTTACATCAAATGAAGGGAACTTTCTCCTTAGCCAAAGTAACAGAGAGTAAAAAAAAAAAAAAAAAAAAAAAAAAAAAAAAAAAAAATCAGGACCACTGTGTTTAAAAATATTTTTTCATCTAATATAACATTAGTTTAATGAGTTATGCACTAATCTTCACCTACTTTCAATCAAAATCAATTTTTGAAAAGATCCCTTCTCACCTACTTTCAAGAACAAACTTAAAGGTTCACGGAATTCCTACCTCTGTTAGGAAGGCAACAAGTGGTTGCCTTTCAAGTTAAGGACCACCCTGAAACAAGCAGATACTGGGCAAGAGAAATTTAATTCCAGTATATAAAGCGAATCATTTTTTTTCAAGTAAGTATGAAGGTATGTCACACAACATACTACGCGAGTATTTTTGGGACAAAGCTGGCCTGCCCAAATCTGAACTTTATAAATCCTCTTCATTTTTATTAGAGATGGAATTCATCCCCCTTCCACTGTTTTTCCAGGGCCATCGTTGTAGTACAATTTGCAATGCATTTCGCATGGTCATCCTACCTGAAAAATGGCAAGCTCCCTGCTCTAACGCCCCACACTCTTCGGCGCAGAGATAGGCTAAAAGCAGCTCTGGCGGCGACGCAACCGGACGCAGCCTCTTGGACAAGAGAAACCGATTGGTCTTGCAGGTGGCCCAGACCGTAGTCCGGGTGAAGACCCTTACAGATAGATACATAGTAATTTTATTTTTCTCCATGTTAGCATTTAGATTCGTCAAGGCTGCAAGGGGACGCGCAGCCTTCCCACCGCCCAGAGGAACCACAGTGGTCTCCTGCTCTCCTAAAATGCAGCTATCCTCTCGCGTTCCAACTGCTATGTAGTTTACAAAACGCTTCCACGAGCGTTATCTGATTCGATCCTCACTCCACGCCTGTGAGGTGAGCATCGTTGTCGTGGTGCCTATTTCACAGACACTAATTCTAAAATTATTTTCTGGAGGGCCCAAGGGCCGTCCTCTCCCCAATGAAGGAAACAGTTTCCTGGAGGAGGGCAGAACAGGTGTGACGCCCACCTGGGCGGCTACCTACAGGCTCCATGTAGCTGCCAGGGACGCAGGCCCTGTGGAGGCGGCCGCTGAGGATCTCCGGGGTCCCCTCCGTCTCCGCCTCTGCTCGGCCCCAGACCCCAGAATGTCTCATGCCCTCCTCCCTCAGGCTCACCGTCCGATCTCGTCAGACAGCATCTGGACGGAACCGAGAAACGCCGCGTCCACCACAGCCGTTCAGGTTCTGGGAGGGATCTATGTTCTGAAATGACGGCGCTGGCGGTCAGCAGAAGGCCTACGGACTCCGAGAAAAGAAAACCTGTCCCCACTCAAACAGCTGACATTCTCAGTCAGCCGGAGCGCCGCCTGCTTCCGCTTCCACGCCCGCCCCCCTTGGGCCTGAGTGTCCCGCAGCCGCGGGGGGTTGTGGGTATTTTATAGGCCGGAAAAGCTGCGAGGGAAGCCAGTAGGGGGCGAGCCAGCCTGACTATGACACAGCATAGAAACTACAATTCCCAGGAGGAAGCGAGGCTGCAACCTCCGCCCCCACTGGAGAGCGGGTAGAACCCTGCGCGCGCTAAGAGAATGGAACGTTGCTACAGTTCGCGGGTCTAGCTGCGCGGGGCCAGTGCTCAACCCCGGGACCTGCAGCGCGCCAAAGCTGAAATTCCAAAGCTAGCAGCTCCGCAATTAATGCACGTATTTAAAACCCCCGAATTGGTGGACGCCATGCACAGGTAAACCGATTGCAAAAAGGTGGAGAGCATAAATGGACCATCTTAATTCTTTTAGGCCATGAACATTGTTATTTGCTGATATTGTTGCTAATGCTATATTATGTGAATGGTTGCTTAATCTCTTTGGGAAAGCGTGGATGAATGCTTTAGTGCTGTGATCAGCGTGCCATTTTATTTGCTTCCATTATAGGGCTTTCCTGCTAAGGGTTTTCAATCTGGTTGGTTGCCCTTCTTCCCTCCTTTCCTCCACTGTAAGAAATTCTTGAGGCCTGCCTGCAAGATCATAGATCCCATTTATTCGGTTACTTTTTTCTTTTTCGAGAATTTACCACTGGCACATGCAAATACAATTTTATCCCAAGAAAAAAACAAACTCAGCTGCCGTCCAGTCGGATCCGACTCATAGCGACCCCGCCTTGGGTTTCCGAGGCGGTATCTCTACGGCAATAGATTGCCCAGTCCTCCTTCCGGAGGATGGTTGGTGGGTTTGAACCGCCAGCCTTCTGGTTAGCAGTCAGATGCCTTAGGCATTACGCCACCAGAGATCGTACTATGCCACCAGAGCAATTTTATTAGCGGCTGTGATGCTTAAGGCATTTGACTGCTAACTAATAGGCTGGCGGTTCAAACCCACCAGCCATCCCTCGGAAGGAAGACTGGGCAATCTACTTCCGTAGAGATAAGGCCTCGGAAACCCAAGGAGGAGTTGCTATGAGCTGGATCCGACTCGACGGCAGTGAGTTTGGCTTTTGGTTTTGCGAAAGTTATAAGTTTTCTACAAGGCGTAAACTGCAGCTCCTTTCATGCCTATCATAGCATTATTTAAAAGGCCCAGTGGTGAAGGCATTTGGCTGCTAACACAACGGTCGGCAGTTCAAACGCGCCAGCCACTCACTCCACGGGAGAAAAAGCAACTAGTTTGCTTCCGTAGAGATTTATAGCCTTGGAAACCCTATGGGGCAGTTCTACTATGTCCGATAGGGTCGCTTTGAGTCGGAATCCACTCGATGGCTGTGGGTTTGGCATTATTTAGGCGCCTTGGTGGCACAAGTTGTTAAGCTTTCAGATGCTAACCGAAAGGTCGGCAGTTCCAACCCAGCAGCAGCTCTGTGGGAGAAAGATGTGGCAGTCTGCTTCTGTGAAGATTTACGGCCTTGGAAACCTTATGGGGCAGTTCTCCGAGAAAAAGAAAAAACCAAACTCACTGCTGTCAAGTTGATTGGACTCATAGCGAGCCCTCTGTGCGTTTCCGGTATCTCTAGGGAAGTAGATTGCCCGATCTTCCTTCTGAGCAGTGGCTGGTGGGTTTGAACCTCCAGCCTTCTGGTTAGCAGTCATATGTCTTAGGCACTACACCACCAGAGCTCCCATGGGACAGTTCTACTGTTTTATACAGGGCTGTGATGAGTTGGAATTTGCCTCAAGGGCAATGGGTTTGATTTCAAAGGAACCTGTTATTGTGCATTGCTGCAGGAAACACCTTCAGGAAATTCCGGACCAGAGTAGTAATGTTACCACCAGCTTCACGTGGGGATGGGACTCTAGCAAGACTTCTGAACTGCTGTCAGGCATGGGGGTCTCCGCCCTGGAGAAGGAGGAGGTGGACAGTGAGAATATCCCCCAGGAACTGCTCTTGAGCCTGAGTCACCCACAGAGCCCCCCACGGAAGCGGTTGAAAAGCAAAGGGAATGACAAGGATTTTGTGATTGTCCGCAGACCCAAGCTAAATCGAGAGAACTTTCCAGGTAAGGTATGCAGGTAAAATCCACAGTCACAGGGGATAGGTTAAACTGTTTTGTCTGTAAACCTTTGTTCAGGGGTCTTTAGGCTGGGTTCCTATTTTAACTACCTAATTCTGAAGTTGCACTGACACAGTGGCTGCAGTAATGGGCTGGAACAGAGCAACAGTAGTGAGGCTGGTGCGGGTCAGGGCAGTGTTTTCTTCTATTGAACATAGGGTTGCTATGAGTCAGAACTAACTTGTCCACACCTAAGAACAATTCAGAAGTTATTTTCTGAAGGAATGGAAGAAGTAATTGTCTTTGACGTTTATAGGAGTCTTTGTGGGTGTCTGTGTTCTGGTATATAATTGACTTGAAAATCTTAAGCCATGACAATACATTTCTGTCCTCCTTAGAAGGAATCTGCCTGCTGACTGGCTCCATGCCGGCTCAGTGTCTCTGATAAGTGGGAGCACAGACAATGATCTACTTCTAGAATTCTTTTCCCATAAAGCCTTGGGTGGGCTTTTTGCCACAATCACTTTAGGTATTTGTCAATAAGTTGCTAAAGTATTTGAATATTACACTAAGTGGAGGAGACTTGTCTCTCAAGCCCACTCCCAGATGAGTTTCTCCTGATATCTGCTATCTCAGTTGCTGCCGCCAACACTATCTGTTCAATCACCCAAGCCAAAAACCTGAGAGTCACTCTAGATTCCCAGTTTCCACTCAATCATTGCATCTTCATTCTTGTCTCCCAACTATTTCTCAAGCTCTCATCATCTCTTGCCTGACTAGTGGAATACAGGCAGCCCCCAGGTTATGAATGAGATCCCTTCCTGAGTGTCTTTAAGAATTTAGCTAAGTTCAAAAAGGTGCATATGGTTCTTACTTTGTTGTTGTTGTTATGTGCCATCGAGTCGGCCCCGACTCATAGCGACCCCTCCTTGGGTTTCCGAGGCAGTATCACTACGGAAGTAGGATTGCCCAACCTTCCTTCCGAGGAGTGGCTGGTGGGTTTGAACCGCCAGCCGTCTGGTTAGCAGGCAAGTGTCTTAGCCACTATGCTACCAGAGCTCCCATGGTTCTTACTTAGCCTTACTTTAATACAAGAAAATGTTTGAAGCCTTTTTCATGATTTAAAGGCTGTGTCACGCAGCAAGTGAAGGTGATTGTGATGAATTGTTGAGAGTAGATACTGGTTCAGTTGTCTCAAAGTGAGGCAGGTTGACTTAACATTGAAGAGCAGGTAGTTGTCGTCCCTGAGTTGGGCATTCGTAACCCCAGGACTGCCTGTACCTGCCATAACTCCAGCCTTATCCTCCCCAGATCAGTCAGCCGGAGCCAGAGTGGCTTAACTGAAATGCTGTTATTAGGTCTGGAGAGCATATTTTCAACTCTTAGTGACCACACGTGACAGAGTAGAATTCCCACATAGGGTTTCCTAAGTTGTAATCTGTACAGGAGCAGATTACCAGCTCTTTATTCTGTGGAGCCACTGGAAGGGTTCAAACCTCCAACTTTTCATTTAGCCGCCAGGTACTTAACCATTGCACCACAGCTCACCATATCATTCCCCTCTTAGCTGTCCATTCCCTATACTAGCAGCTTTCTGAGCAGGTGAATGAGTGCTTGCAAAAATGGATCAGTCCCTAGGAAGTATAAACATTGCATTGACCTAGGATTATCAGATTTTTCTTGCTAGTAAGTCATTTAAACATTAGTTGATTCAGCATATATTCACTGAACACATACTGTGTGCCAGGTATTCATTGCTCTAGGTGTTAGAGACAGAGCAGTGAATGAAACAAATATTCCTATCCTCATGGGGCTTCCGTTCTACTTGGAGGGGGAGACAAATAAACATGTTATGTAGTATGTTAGATGGTGATAAGTGCTATGGCTAAAAACAAACACAGAGCAAGCTAAGAGGGTTTGGAAGTGCTGGAGTAGGGATATGGGTAACAATTTTAAACAGAGTGGTTAAGGAAGGCCTCACTTGGATAGTGACCTTTCAAAAAAGGCTTAAAGGAGGTGATGAAATGGGCTATGCATATATCAGGGAAGAAAGCCCCAAGGAGAGGGAATAGCCAGTGCAAGGACCCTGGGGCTGAACTGTGTCCCGTATTTCAAGAAACAAAAAAGAAGCCATCCTTCCAAAATGAGTGAAGGGGGGGAGTGGTGGGAGATGAGGCTAGAGTGGGTTTTAGGAAGAATTGTGATGTGATTTGACTTAGCTGTTGAAAAGGACACACTAATGTGTGTTGAAACTAAATTGTAGGATGGGAGATGAGGCTAGAGTGGGTTTTAGGAAGAATTGTGATGTGATTTGACTTAGCTGTTGAAAAGGACACACTAATGTGTGTTGAAACTAAATTGTAGGAGGTAGAGAATACATGGGAGCTCTGGTAGCATAGTGGCTAAGGCACTTGACTGCTCACCAGAAGGCTGGCGGTTCAAACCCACCAGCCACTCCTCGGAAGGAAGGTTGGGCAATCCTACTTCCGTAGTGATACTGCCTCGGAAACCCAAGGAGGGGTCGCTATGAGTCGGGGCCGACTCGACGGCAAATAACAACAACAATAACAAGAGAATACATGCTTGGAGTCTTGTGAGAAGGAGTGGTGATAAGCAATTATTAGATTCTAGATATGCTCTGAAGTTAGAGTCAACAGAATTGGTATGTATGTGGGTAGATTCGGTGATGTAGCAGGAGGGACAGCCAAGATAGACAATTCCCAGTGGGCCTCTGGAACCTGGGCAGTGCCCAGGGATTTGTCTTTAGCTGTCAGGACAGGTGGCTAATAGCTCTGCCAGGATTAGAGTAGAGCAGGCCACACCAGCTTCACATACCTGATGTCAGAGGCCTTGGGCTATACATTTTTTCTTGGTTCTATGTTCCACCTTCCCTCCCCGCAGGCCCCAATCCAGGCTCACAAATGGTGACTAAATCCTCTTCGTCAATTTATTCTGGAAGACAAAAAGCTGTATGGCCAGCCTGTGCCAGAACAGGTCTTATTGGCCCTTAAGGTGAGTGTGTAGTATGAATTAAGAGGAAATGGTCCAGCAGTGAGGTCAGTAATTCATGGTTATTAAATGCCTGTCCCGCCCATTAAACAGGTGTTGGTCGTGAAAAAGCTGTTGAACTAACTTGTTGATCAACCCTGCTACAGCTGTTAAAACTGCCTGCAATTACAGACCTTACAGTGCTTCAGACTTTAGACTCTAGTGTAAATTGCATCAGAATCCTCAAGGGAACTGGGTCAAAGTGCAAAATTCCTGAAATTCTGATCCAAAAAAGCCTGGCTGGAGCCTGGGAATCTGCAGTTTAATACTCCAGGCAAAGTTTTCTTGCCCCCTATTTCTCTTATTGGGAGCTCTAGTGGCATAGTGCCTAAGGCATTTAACTGCTAACCAGAAGGCTGGCGGTTCAAACCCACCAGCCAGAAGGAAAATTGGGCAATCTATTTCTGTAGAGATCCCACCTCGGGAACCCAAGGAGGGGTCTCTGAGTCAGATCCAACTGGATGGCAGCAAGTGAGTTTATTTCTCTTATTATTAGTAAGAAATATACTTTATGTTGCAATTCTGGGTGTGTATCTGAAACTAAATTTTGTAAAATGATATTTCCTCCACTAAGATGCACTCTGAAGTTTTCTATTTTGTTTTATTCTTTTAAAAAAAGAAGTGGTTGTCAGACTCACTAAATTAATTCATGGCTCACCAGTCTCAGCCAGTAGTTTCCAAAACTAAGCTCTTATAAGAACCTTTAGAAGACTGCCCCCAGGAATTTTTCTTCCTGTTTCCTCCCTTCATCCCAAGGATTGGGAATAAAACAGTGAACATAACAAGCCAAAGGCCTTGCCCTCATATAGCTTATATGCCTTATCCTTCAGTCCGAATTTTCATTGGTCCTTTGCTGCTCCTTTCATACCCCTGGGTTCAGCAGTCTCATAGAAAAAAGGGGTTGTGGGGTGAGGAGGTTCATTGGTGTCCTCTGTTTTTCTTTTGCTGTGCTTTGATTTTCTCAGTTTTGCTCACTTAGCAAAAAAAAAAAAAAAAAACCTCAAGAACTAGCATAGCCTGATGTTTTCTCTTTCTGACTTACGGGAAGAGGGAGGGGAAGTCATCCTAAGTGGCAAAATCTGTACAGGCATACTTCGTTTTATTGTGTTTCACTGGTAGTTCCATATTCTTTGGACAAATTGAAGGTTTGTAGCAACCCTGTATCAAGCAAGTTTGTCAGTGCCATTTTTCCAACAGTACATGCTCACTTTGTATCTCTGTGTCACATTTTGGTAATTCTCACAATTATTGTAGTATAAACATAGCTTTCATATGCCCTGGGACACTGAAAAAATTGTGTGAATCACTTTCTTGTGATCTCGCTTTATTGCAGTGGTCTGGAAACAAACCCACAATATCTCTGAAGTATGACTGTAGTTCCCCAGAAAGGAAGCATAGTTGTAACTACTTCTTAAAACAGCAAAAGCAGATATGAGAACTTTCCTACCCCCAAAAGAGCAGGTACGGGTCCCAGTGCCTGCTCATCCCTCAAATGTAACTTGATTATACTTAAAGATAGAAATAGTTTTAAAAGTCACAATACTGGTTTGATTATGTTAACTTTGGGTTCTTCAACTTGAATCTGAGTGTAGTTGATGCTGTGAGGAAGAAATTTGTCAAAAGGAGTTACCACTACTGAGAAGATCTGATGCCTGGAAAGCACAACAAGCCATTCTTTCCAGAGGAGTTGGAGAGGCATGGGAAGCGACAAGGTTCTGGAAGTGGAAAGCTGGTTTACACCTGAGGGATAAGTGGAAAAGGTGGCTAGGGGGCTAACTAGCAGGTTTGCTAATCTGGCCAGCTTTTACCTATTCATGACTCTAAAGTATGTTTAGCTGCTATCCATGTAAAGTGAGGTCTTGGCTTTAATAATTATTTCCATTCATGTGTGGGGTGGGTTTGCAACCTTGGTGAGTTTAGGAGAGGTGAGTGGAGGAGAGACTTACCTCTAAATTTTC